TTCCATTTACAGCAACAAAACACACTGCCATTTGACATTAACACATTTATTACACGCAGAACAGATATGGTTCATTCACAGCACGAGGGACAAAGCACAGGAACATATTCATACAGATTATACAGAATGCCATCTTCAGACCAAACAGCAGAGTTTACAGGCCCTGTAACACTTAAAAATCCTTCTCTAACATACAAGATACCTTACAGAGATCACAGTGGAGATATGACAGAGCCACTCTCTCTGGCCATGAAGCCAGTCCACTCTCACCATGCTGCCCCTTAGCTAATGAAAGCCAATAGGAATATGCCAACAGCAGTTGGTTTTATTTAGCTGCAGCTGCCCTCCCCCCACCTTTAAGCTTGTGCTTCTCTTGGAGGAAAACATGTATCAAACTGGAAAGGAAACTGCTGATAGAAGCTCCAGAACGGTTTCAGCTGTGAAGCCAGCTGAACTATGCAATTGATCTGGGATGCCTCCAGCCTGAATTATCTGGATGAGGGTAGGCTTTGAGCCATTGCCAGGCTGCCTCAATTTAGGATTCTGAGAGCTAAATTTTGGACCTAGTAAAATTTCAGTGCAGAGCTGGCATTTGTTTTTGATCATGTGTGTTGCTCTGCTGAGGATTTTTTTTTTCCACCCTCTTGTGAGAGAGCAAGTGCTAGTCACAGTCTGGTTTTAGTCTACCCTGCATAACTCTTACACTTGTTTGATTTTTTTTTTTTTTTTAAAAACAACTTTCACCAGTTTGTCTGGTGAGAAGAACTGTCTCTGACTGGGGTATATATCAGTAGTGCTGATCATACTGCAGTCTGTGCTAGGTGGTCTAGCAAACTTTTATGGGAATTCTGGGCCAGTTGTGCCTCTAGTATCAGATTTCCTTGGGAGCCTCCTGAGATGAGCTGGTAAGTCCTACCTGGGCCCTGTTCAGTAAACGCCTTGCCACCTATCCTTTGTTTTAAACTTGCTGGTTAGGAGTCCATGCCAGGACTGTTTTCAACAGTTTGCCAGGGTGGGATGAGACTGGCAGAGCCCACATACTGCATATGGAGATAGACTACTCTTGTGTTTCTTTCTTCAAGGACATTAGTTTGAAAATGCCCAGAAATAATCAGATCCTGCACTTCACATTTTGGAAAGCTAAGCACTGGAAACTGCACTAGGTACTATTAGTTTTAGGTTATTTACCTGTGCGGTGTTTGTGCTCTCCCAGCAACACGTGGGAGCCCTTGCTTCCAGAGAGGCAAAGGGCTCTCCAGCCCACGTTTCCCAGCTCTGGTGGTGAACGCTAAGGGAGGAAACAGATGCAAGCTAATTAGAGTTATGGTGCTAGGGAAGAGAAGCAGTTGCTGCTCATTTCTGAGACACTAGCAACCTGAAGGATTTCTGGGCAGAAATCATAATCCTTTAAAAAGGATGCCTAAGATGCCTGCACAGCAGTTGCCTTGTGAGCAGCTGTAAAACGCAGGCTGGCAGGGGAAAGAACACCTTTGAGGCTTTGAGCTGGCCCAGTAACTTGCTTTTGGTCTCTTATACAGCCTTTATGAGCTCACTGAATATCAGAATTTCACCTGAAAGAACGGCAGCTGCATAGCAACTGCCTGGAAGATGCTACGATGATTACTAATCTTGTAAGATTAGTTATTCCCTCACAAGGAACTAAATTAAGTATTGATGCAAGTAATCAAACCAGAGTTTACACTGATAGCTTAAATTCTTCAGGACAGAACAGTCTAGTATGCACAGTAGCCACTGGTTTCCAGCTCAAGTAGATGAGACTCTTAAAAGTTAATATAGGAAAATAATTACAGCAGAATCTCCAGGTAAGTGTTCCATTATCACTTCCTTCAGATACTCACTGCAGTCAGATGCATTCTTTAGCACACACTTAAGGACCACAAAAAGACAGAAAAGTTCACAATGAAAACACTTGCAAGTGTAGGAAGCAAAAACTATACAGGACTATTTATTCACAGCAGATGAAAAGAAAGAGCAATTTGTCTTAGTTCAGAGCATTGTGGCTTTATCATTATCTTCCCCCCGTCTTACACTCGAGCTGCAGTACTCACACAAAACCTTGTCAGTTATTGTCTAGCAGAAGATGGGCTGAGAATTTCTGAAGCCTGTCAGCTCCTAACATAAAAACACTCAGCAGCATTTCAAACCCTCCTGGGATGACAGTTCTACCTCAGGAGCTTTGGTCGTGATGGTCAGGCAGGAACTGCCAAGAGCATTTATCTGACACTTCCATTCTTACACTGACTGCTCTCATCAGAGCCTTTTCTTTGTTGAGGCCTCATCACTGTATTTCTTCTACAATGGGGCTAGGGAAAGTACCTGTCCAGGATTGCATATACAAGACTAAAGCAGGATAATCTGCATTCTGACAGAGAGAGAACTACACTCTCCAAATACTCTTTTGAAACATACACAACTAAGAGGAACTAAATTTTACTCACCTTGCTATATAAATTAGACAACTTAATATCACTGTTAGCTTTTCAGATGAAAAACCGCAGTTGTCACAGCCTCCAGCACGCACTTAGGTGTATCTGGGCTATTAATATAAACACCGGCGCGTGGGCTATCCGCCGGTCACGGACTCCCGCAGCCCGGCGGGGGCTGCCTACAGAAGCA